TGCCAACGGTCCCCGTGTCCCCCGTGTCGCAGGAGGGACTTCTACAAGATCCTGGGGGTGTCGCGCGGCGCCTCCGTGAAGGACATCAAGAAGGCGTACCGCAAACTGGCGCTGCAGCTGCACCCCGACCGCAACCCCGACGACCCCCGCGCGCAGGAGAAGTTCCAGGACCTGGGAGCGGCCTACGAGGTGAGGCGGCCCCCGCAGGGCCGTGTCTCCAGCCCGCGGAAAGGAGGGACTTCTACAAGATCCTGGGGGTGTCGCGCGGCGCCTCCGTGAAGGACATCAAGAAGGCGTACCGCAAACTGGCGCTGCAGCTGCACCCCGACCGCAACCCCGACGACCCCCGCGCGCAGGAGAAGTTCCAGGACCTGGGAGCGGCCTACGAGGTGAGGCGGCCCCCGCAGGGCCGTGTCTCCAGCCCGCGGAAAATCAAGGTCCCTGTGCGACTAGGGAGCTCGTTTTGCTGGAGGAAAGTCTAAGTGTCCCCCCTCAGCATCTAAACATCCCCCCGAGCATCCAGACATCACCCTGGGGGAAAGTAAAGGCAGCAAGTTCAAGCTTTTTTCTTATGTGTTAATAGTTTGGTCTGTGGAGAAGGCAGAGGAAGAAACAGAGCTGCAGGAGGAACCATCACTGTACGTGTAGATGGGCTGTGAGCGTACATATAGGCGGACCATGGGTAGTTCTGGCTCACATTAAAGGTTTTCAGCTTCCTCTTACTGATTTTACCTAGCTTCTGGGGAAAAATGTTGTAGTAGTGAACCATACATGCATTAGGGATCTTGGTTTTTTGCCACTGTACAAATGTACACATGTACACACATGTACACACATGTACAAATAATGTGTTAGTAGTTAGCATTAATAGCAGATACTACATTAAGTGAAGCATCACCCTTCAGCCAGCAGAGCTGCTTCCTCACGTGTTTCTGCACCTCTCGAGCCTTCTGGGAGCTGGCCTGGTGATTCTAGTCTCCCAAAACATAATTGGTAGGTCAGGTTGGGGAGAAAACAGAACTGAATCTGATCCTGAAACCTCACGATCTCAGGGACAGAGCAAAGATCTACACTGAGAAATGACACATGTGTTAGGGTACTTAATTTGGCTGTAATGCTGCAGTCATTTCTTGTTGCCCTTCAGGAATGAGGCCCCCGTTCCTGCTATCACAAAGTTACTGTCTTTGTCAGGAACCTGCCTGAGCCGTAGCTGAATTCCTTGTCCCTTTGCCTTCCCTGTGCCCAGGTGCTGTCGGACGAGGAGAAGAGGAAGCAGTACGATGCGTACGGAGAAGAGGGGCTGAAGGACGGGCACCAGAGCTCCCATGGAGACATCTTCTCGCAGTAAGGAGGCCTTGTCCCTGTCGGGTGTTCTGTGCTCCGAGCTCTGGCTGGATCTTCTGGCCTCTGGTCCTCTTTTACCTGTTGGGTTTCCATGTGTGATTGATGTTTAATCCATCGTCACGGCTCACGAGTGACTTTGGGGGTCGGAGTGACTTCGGGGGCCCACACTGCACTGACCTATACAACAGAGCAGCTGTGGAGCTTGTGTCGCTGGAACCAGAAAGTGCTCACATGTTGCTCAGTTTAAGATCCACTGATTTCTGCAGGGAATAAATTTCCTAATATCACTTATTAAGGTGCTCTGATCCTTCTGGGTAAGAGCCACTGCTGTCTGCAGGGGCAGTTTTGAGCAAGATTATTGAGGTTTACTGCAGATTTTTTTTCTCATCACTCTTGTCCCCCATCTCCTGCCCGTTGCTCTGTTCAGCAAAGCTTTATCTGGTGAGAATTTCTTTCTGGACTAATGGATGTGTTTTACTCTGTAGCTTTTTTGGGGACTTTGGATTCATGTTTGGAGGGAATCCTCGCCAGCAAGACAGGAACATTCCCCGAGGAAGCGACATCATTGTGGATCTGGAAGTTACATTGGAGGAGGTTTATTCAGGAAACTTTGTGGAAGTAAGTTTACTTTCCTGTGTGTGAGTTTCCTCAATGTGCTCTTAATTTTGAGAACTGCTGGTCTGGCTGCTGATGGGAATGATGTTTTCTGAAAAAAAAGTGGCACTAAAATAGACAGTTGTTTTCTGAGAAGAAAACAGAATCTGAGAAGATTCTGTGAGAATCTTCTGTTAGCTGAAGAAACAAAATATTCATCCTTTAATCTATTAAACTTGCCTATGAAGAGATGCTTCTTGTGATAATAGTTTTGATTTAATACTTGCCAGTTCTTAGATGCTCCCTCCTTGTAGTGCCTGCTTTAAAAAAACATTACTGGTCTCCCTGCAAACACACGGCTTAATTCTTGTGTTTTCAGCCTTTCTTGTAAAACTGTGTTGTGTATTATTAATGCCCTCTCTCTATGGCTGAATATTTAAAAGGAACTTTCTGGGTTATGCACCTAGCAAACAGGTAGTGCTTTTTGGTTTTGGAAGCTGTATTTATCAGCTATCAAACACTGTCGTATCGTATTTACAGTGGGATAAATCCAACCGGTCTTTCTGCCACGCAGGTCGTTCGAAACAAGCCCGTGGCCAGACAGGCACCGGGCAAGCGGAAATGCAACTGCCGGCAGGAGATGAGAACCACCCAGCTGGGCCCCGGCCGGTTCCAGATGACACAAGAAGTTGTTTGTGATGAATGTCCCAACGTCAAGTGAGTTTTCACTCCAGTGTGTTTAACCAAAGCCCGCCACTAGGTGGGGGAAAGTGTCTGCACTACAAGTAAGTTTGGAGAAACTTAGCATTTCCAAGCAGCCGATTTTTACTCTTATAGCTCTTTATTACTTGAACAAGATAATCTTGGCCTAAATTCCACAACAAAATCTGCATAAACAGAAGCAAAGCTGGAAAAGCCCGTAGTTTCCAAATGTGAACATCTGGGCAGGGAATACTGCATCGTGGTCATGTATAATATAAAATAAGTAGGTGCTACCACCTGCTGCTGTTGACACAGCACAACCCTTTACCTGCCCTTGTCCTTTACAGGCTTGTGAACGAAGAGCGGACGCTAGAAGTGGAGATAGAGCCGGGTGTGAGGGACGGAATGGAGTATCCCTTCATTGGGGAAGGTATGGATAGGGGCACTGCCACATTGCTGAGCTTTACTTGCTCCTTCTGCCACACGAGGCTGGTCTTCCTGCCAGTGTCCTGTAACAGCAGTCTTTTCAAAGGTCTGTAAAGTCTTTTCAAGTCTTTTCAGAAGAGCAGAGAGTACAAAATCACTGAGGCAATATGAAAATCTTAAGCTCTTTGTAAGGAAACAGATGTTAGCAAGGTTTTAGCTATGACCTTGAATTTTCATTTTGTAGCTTGTGTGAAGAACAGACTTGTCTGGTCTTTAACAAGCTATTGGTTTCCTTAGCTGCTGCCTTAGCAAAGGTTTTCTTATTTCGCAGGTGAACCTCATGTGGATGGAGAGCCAGGCGATCTGCGCTTCCGAATAAAAGTTCTTAAGTAAGTCACCTGCACACTTAGACCCCTTTGGTTGTTATAAATGAAGCTCACAAGCAATTTTCTGGCTGGTGTTGCCTGCTTTGCTGGAATGTAACCTACCCCTCAGTGGTGCTCAGAGCTGTGCAGAATGTTTTACCCCAAGTGTGCTGGAGTAGCTGGACTCACCACTGTTAAAATTCCTTGAAGTTATTTAATTTTTTTCTTTGGCTTGAATTCAGCAGTAAGTTTTAGCTCCTGCATGCGTCAGAAAATATGTTGTTTTTTTTCCCATAAACTTACTATCTCTCTCGCTGTTGTGTGACTCACAACTTTCTTAGTATTATGTTTCCTTACAACCTCTTGACAATGCCTTACCACCCATTACACTAAAATAGAAAGGTTATTAGTAGCACATATTTTAATCAGGAAACAATGCTGGATTTCATTCATTCCTCACTTCCTTTCTCTGAAGTGTGCAAGTTCTCTGAGCTCCTTCCCAAATAGTGACCTGTTTCTCCTCAGGGGAAAAAGAAGCTCCAATTTCTCTCTCTCTCTCTTTTCCACAGGCATCCAGTCTTTGAAAGAAGAGGGGATGACCTGTATACAAACGTGACAGTCTCGCTGGTCGAGGCACTTACGGGCTTCGAAATGGATATTGCCCACTTGGATGGGCACAAGGTCAGGCAGCCGTTTGCTTTTCTGCTCTGGGCAAACAAATCTTAGCTGCAGGTTTCTTACAGCCTGGGCTGCCATGTGCAGGGCTGTCCGTAGCTGGGGGTTATGTTCAGTATCACCCACTGCTACGGACTTTGAACTGCCAAAGTGATTCTTAGAGAGACAAAATGTGCCCTTTGCTAAGGATGACACAGTGCAGGTCCTGGCTTCCAAAGCAGCTACGTGTTTTGTCTTGGGTGTTGTGAGTACTGTGAATATTGATGACTTTTGCCAGAAATCAGGATCAATTGTAGCTGTTTAGTGGGTTGGAAAGGGCATCTTGGGGTGTTGGGGTACAGGCACAGAACACTAATAATGTTTTGAAATTCTTTTTGTCTCTAGGTTCACGTTGCTCGGGACAAAATTACGAAACCTGGGGCCAAGGTGTGGAAGAAAGGAGAGGGCCTTCCAAATTTTGATAACAATAATATCAAAGGCTCGCTAATAATAACGTTTGACGTGGAGTTTCCCAAAGAGCAGCTGACGAACGAGCAGCGGGAAGGTGTGTGCTTTAAAACTCCCTCGTGGCAGCGGGTTGTGCCCATCTCTCCCCAGAGCTGATGAGTGGGTACAACCGAACCAGTGGCCTGTAGTGGCCAACAAGGGTTCTCCTGTCCGTGTACCCGTTGCACAACATAACGCAGCTGGCCCAAAGCCCTGGGAGCAACTTTCACTTGTTATTTTTTGAAGCGAGCAGTCTTGGCTGCTGTAGCTAGAGGGAACCAGATAAGGTTGGATGTAGTTTTTGGCAAGCCTGCAGACCTTTGTAGCTGACCATCTGTCTGAAGGGAAGGACTCAGTGGGACTAGTCCCCACCTGCCTCACATTTGCTAGAATGGGATCCTTTTCCAGCCCAAGCTCCCACTTTTTTGGAGAAAAGATTTGTGGAAAACCATCTTACTGTTATGGGCAAACAGAGCCATGCAGCATTAGAAGAAGTATTGTTCCTCCCTACATCTCCCTTCGTTATTAGCACTTCCCAACGAGGAGGAAGAAGGCAATGCAAATGCATAGACCTGTTTGGCAGGCAACATCTGCTGCCCAGCTGTGGCACTCTGGTGGAAGATTATGGATGAGCCTTGTAAGCATCCTGGAATTGGTAGGAGAGCAAATCCTCCAGCTTGGAGTCATGGCAAGAAATTCTCCCCCACTTCAGGAGGTTCTGCCGAGGTACTCGGGGTGGCAGAGTAGGCATCAAGGGATGCTATGGGAGTTCCTGACATGTTCTGTCTCCGGAGCTTCTTCCCGCTGCCCCAAGGCATCGTGCATTCTTGTTGAGAAGGTGCCATTTGCTGGATTTTGACAGCTGTCTTGGTGGAAGGGGGCAAACATGCAGCTCCTCTGGACTCCAGAAGTGTGTAGGGGGAATTCAGACCCCAAGTGCAGATGTCTCAGTCCCACAGTTTGTTACTGCTACCTTGGCAGGTCCCTCTGGTGCTTGGTGAAATCTGCAGTGACCACAGTCAGCGTGATGTCCCCTGCCACCAGGCTCTGCTGCTGTTCTCTGAACTTTTAAGACAGCTCCTCTCATTACAAATGACATTTATTCCTCTGTTGCTCTTGGCAGTTTGCAAAAAGCCTGTGGGCAAAAAGCAGTGACGGAAACCTGCATCTTTCTGCTAAAACTGCCAGCGTGCCTGTACAAATACCCTGTGAACAGGAGATGATAGTACTGGCATGAGCCTGTTTTAAGAGGGTATGAAACATCTGAATCCTGAAGTGATTCCACCCATCTTAGGGCAGGGGTGACTGGGTAAGCGGTCAGATTTGTTTGTGTGTGCTAGAATATTCCCAAACATCCAGGGACTTAAAGCATTTAAGTGAATAGCTCTAGGCGTGTTGTATGGCAGCAGCTCAGCATACGCATCCAAGACTAGGCCTCAGAGTTCAAAACATCTTTCTTATTCTTGGCACGGGGCCCAAGTTCTTATCACCCTATTTATGGCTTCTGGGGTAGGCAGGAGATACTGGTGCTCAGAGAGCAGCCCTTCGGTCCTCCCGCTGCCCTGGAGTCGGGGGAACAATGTGCTCTCCTTCCTGCCGCTGTGACATCGGGAACTTGTTGCCTGCTGGTCGGAGGTGACTTTCTTCAGCGGCTTTTCGGGGGGTTGAATCCCGTGCGTTAACTCCAGAGTGTTCAGAGAGTAGCAGCAGGCAGTGAAGAGCACGAGTTGTTCTGTAACCTGTTAACAGCAGGAAAAGGAACCTCCAGGTTGGCTCCGGTCAGTGCGTTGGGTTTGGCAACACCAAACCACGGGATTCCTGGCAAAAGCAAATCCAGAGAATTGGGGTTGGAGTGCCAGGAATGCATCAAAATATCCTGTGCGCTGCTGACTGTCCTTCAGGCCAGTGTGCAGTTACCTGGAAGGAGCTCGGCAGAAACGCGAGGAATCATGGAATGCTTAAGGTTGGAAGGGACCTCTAGAGGTCATCCAGTCCAGATTGGGAACATTGCCAATCCCATTTTATGCAGGGCTGCTGGAGGACACCTTGCTGCAGCTATGCCCTTCCTTTCCAAGAGCTCTGTAGCCCCGGGACACGACATCCTCTTACACATGAGCCAGGAAGCGGCTTTGAGTCTCCCTTGGCTGCGGAGGGAAGCGAACTTACCTTCCCCTGCCTGGAATGTGACCTCTGCTTGGAGCTTAGCACCCTTTTCTGTAGGGGGCTGCACTTTACCCTCCTCTGGAGGGTGGCTCAGGAAGCAGGGAAGAATTTGGGATTTTCTGGGCAGGAGCAAAGCGAGAGGGACATGGATAGTTCAGTAGCCCCCGACATCTCTGGCAGAGAGCAGTCTCTGTTCCAGGCCTTGCTTCCAGCCTGGTTTTTATTTTTAACAGGGTTGCCATGGCCTTAACATATCGAAACAATCATGTTAAAGGACAGTAGTGTCAGAATGGCCTGAGTGTAGAAAAGCAGGACAAGGTTTGGAGGGATATTATCATTTAATTTGGTCTCCTGAAGAAGGACTCGTATGTGCAAGTGAAGCAGCCAGAAATGACCAGTGCAAAATAAGGTTTGTTTTTCAGGTATGTAGCTTCTTCAAGCAGTTCCTGCTATGGTTGCACAGGGAGAAGGACAGGAGCTATAGCCTGGACTGCGATGGTCAGGAGATAACATGCTGGAAAACAGGCATATTCGTCCCCTCAGTCAGGCTGAGGTGCAAGCCAGCTCTCACAAGGTTGATGCTGGGGCATTTCCAAAAGCAGTTTTATAGCAACTTGGCTTAATTTTATGGCTTTTAAATCCGCTGTGAGCAGGCTGATGTGGAAGAGGGAGTCCCCTTGAGTTATCTCTGGAAAAGCAGGGTGAGCCGAGTCCTTGCCAGCCTCCTCCCTTGGCCCGCGTTGTGCAGCCTCAACCCTGAAGCAGCAGCAAGTGCAGATCTGTCTCCCTGCTGACCTCAGTATTGGGCTGTTGCAGCTTCAGGGCTGAGTCATTCCTCTCTTATATTATCGTGCCCTGATAAGAAGCTGATGCTGACAGGACGTGAGCACAATCTGTCCTTTGAAGTGTTTTATGACCAGGTTTTCCCTGTTTCGGGGGTGTTTTTTTGTAAAGGCAGGGCCCAGGCCAGTGATGTGATCTGCTGGACTCCTCTGTAAAGCAGTGGCTCTAGAGCTGCAGCCTCCTGTAGTGCACTGAAGCCCTCTGATAATGAGTTTGCTTCCCTCGCTTGCCTCCGGGTCTGCCTGTGCAGGACAAGAGCAGCTACAGCCATCACGTGGAAAGCTCTGCTCTGGAATCGCTCGCATTGATTCCTCCTGAATTTGCACGCTGTAAAAACCCAGCGTAGCCCTCCAAATTCTCACTAGCTGCTTTCTCCCTGGCTGCAGTGGGAGCGTTGAGAGACAAGTTCTGCAAGGCCAGGAATAACCTTAGGAAATAACCAAAGAACTATTTCTCCTTAGGTTTACTTAGAGGGACAAAATTGCTCTTGGTTTCAGAAGGGAAGTGCCTCTGGGGGTCACTTCTATGTCTCACCCATCTGTGAAGATCTTGAAGTGGAGCACTGAGTTTTGAGCTTGCAACAAAACGTTTTTCTGCCTGGATCCCTTGGTGCTGTGTGGCCTCGAGCGCGTAGGAAAACACAGTTACATCGTTATTAGCCTTGGTCCTATTTATCCTTTCAGAAATAATGAAGAAGCAGCAGTAAAGGCGTTGCCCCTTGTTTTTATTTTTCTAACAAAGCTCTTGGTGTCAGAGCTTTAGCCCTGTTGTTCAGCTGTGGTGGGCTGGACCTTGGAAGGCCAGTGAGACCGTGCCTGCAAATCGGATGCAAAGTGTAACGGGAATGGGGAAGGCAGAGTCCTGCTGGTGCTGTGCTATAACTCCTTCTCTTCTCTTCTTTTGCAGGTCTCAAACAGCTATTGAAGCAAGGATCAGCGCAGAAGGTGTACAATGGATTGCAGGGATATTAGTTTGAAGAAAAAAAAAAAGGACTTAATTGTGAAATGAAAAGTCAGATTTGTCAGAAGTCTATTCTGCCCGTTGTAGAGTGAAAAAGAGGGAGGGGGGAGCAATTGTTGAGGTATATATATAAATTCCCTTTTTTTTTTTTTGTAAATGGTGAAAGTGCTCAGACGAGTTGGGGAAAACTCTACCCTTTTCAGGGCATAACTGGTGCTGCCTATAATGTTCAATGTCCTGGAACAATGAAAAGACTTCTTGTGGAGAAAGGAGTTTTAAATTCCATGCAGGTTGGAGTTTCGGGTTTTTAAATATATTTTGATGTGACTTTTCTTGGCCATCTCAACATATTTTCATAGTTTCTCCTGCTTTTTTGTCCTTTGTGTCAATCTCTTCTAAGTTTCTCTTTTGTATTGAAGCCCTGTCTTCCTTTCCCCTCCAAGTCCAGAGTGTGATCCTGTTGCAGAGTGCATTTCTGGGGCCAGAGTACAGGTGCTGTTGAGAGTGGACTGCAGGAAGGGCTCTATGTGCTGTGGTAGGGCTCCACACGTGATTGAGAAAACAGAGGAGAGAAAACAGGTAAAAAGCCTTCTTTGGACTCTCTTATCTGCCAAGAAGTCCTCTCGTCCTCAAAGTTAACGGCTGGTCTCGGTTTTTGAAGTCACAGCTACTTTCTGGCTTAGCAAAGACACCTCAGACCTTCTTTGTACCGTGGGATTTTGGAAGAAGTAACGGAAAAGACTCCTTGTGGTCTTGGTTCTTCCTACCCAACTGTAACTGACAGCGTGGCTGGAAAAGTTCACTTGCGTCCTGCACTCTGTCCTCTGTGAGGACAGGTGAAGCTAACAGCACATAAATAAAGATACTTGAGTTGGAACAGCAAGCTCCCTGGTTATGTATTTAAGCAGAACTGATGCTGCTGTAGCTGCAAGTTACTGGACTGATGCAGGAAGGCTCTGGCTGCGAGATAGAGCAGCTGGATGCTCTAAGTGGTGAAACTACAGCTGCAAGAGCTAATGCTCTGTAGCTGCTTTATTTGAACTGAGGGCTGCTGTGGTGTGTGTCATGGAGACATCCCAGAATGGTTAAGGTTGGAAGGGACCTCTAGCAATCATCTAGTCCAACGCCCCTGCTCCAGCAGGGATGCCTAGAGCTCCCTGTTAGAGGTGTTTGCCTCTGCGTGTCCTTTGGAGCTTTGGGAGCAGTAACTTAAAAAAAAAAAAACAGGTGCCTATGTAAGGTTTTCTTGTGGTGTTTCTTGTAACTTGCACAAAATGCTTCTGAACGTGGGGAGGCGAAGAGCCCTGGAGCCCCCATGTCCAGTGAAGCCTCCACTTCTCACCGAGCAGCAGGAGCTGACGCATCGGAAACGCGCTGCAGGGAAGGCTTCCTGTTGGATCCCTTGCACGTTTGCCTTGGCAGAGCAAGGTGAGGGCTCCGGGAATGGCCGAGAAACGCAGGCCAGGCAAATCCTGGCTCCCAGGCGCTTGGTTTTGCTGCTAGCTCTTCCCCAAAGCCCTCCCCTGGCCGAGCTGGCCGCCTCGAGTGCCAGCCCTCTTGGTGACCGGCTTCTCCCAGGCCCGCAGCCAGCTGCCTCCTCTCATGGCTCTGGGAGTTCAGAGGCACCTCGTGTCCTTGCGCGCGGGGCTGCTTCCAGTTACGCCGGCCCGGGGAGCGTCCACCTCCTGCAGGCTCCTCTCAGCCCAGCGGCCTTGCCCGTCTTCCTTTTCTATCAGCGTAAGCCCGTGCTGCCAAAATTGCATCCGAATTCCCTCCGAAGCAGCCTGGATTTGGCAGAAACTGGTAGGAATCGTGTGCCTGATGCTGCGAGACTCCTGCTTTTGCCTGGGCTCCGCTTCCCCCGCCCCTGTGTAGCTCACCGAGCGCTCCGTCTCAGTGCTCTTTGGTGGTCACCTTTGGTTGGGTAGGGACACAGATGTGACAGCTGGGTGCATCCTGCCCTGGGACCGAGGGCCTTGGGGGCTTCCTGACCCATCCGCTCCACAGAGCCTGTGGGAGCAGCGTGGCCCCGTCAGCATCAACAGGAACTGCAGGAACCGGAGCCACCGGAGTCGGAGAGCCGCGTTTCCCGTTCAGCGCCTGTTGCTTTGAACAGCCCACCCTGACCCGAGAGGCTGTGCCTGCAGTTGGGCTCTGCAGAGAAGAGGGAGCAAAAACCCGTTTCCCTTTTGGCGCTCCTACAGGCAGGGCTGGCCAAACCGACGCACATTTCTCGGAGACGAAGAGGGGCTTTCGCTCGCCCGTGTCACTGCACAGCCTGTTGTGACCAAGCCAAAGAGCCTGGAATGTGCCCCGAGATGCAGACCCTGTGCACGAGGGATTGGCGCAGCCCTTCCTCTCCCCACCCCAGCAGCCCCCAGCACCTTCTTTCAGAGTCAAGTGCCTGTTCCTGCCGCCGCTTTCCCTTTCCCTGCTAATTCTTTTTCTTCCTGTGAGTGTTTTCTTAAGCCATGTGAGTTTATGCTGCTTTGGGAAGCCCATCAAGCAGCAACAATAGAGGCCGCAGAAACAGCGGGTTTTGCCAGGGTGAGACCCAGAGGCAGCTCAGGCTCATTCCCATGCTTGTGCTGCAAGTAATTCAAAGAAACATGAGCCAGGAAGAAAGGCAGGAAGGGGAGAAGTGCAACCCCCCTAATCCTGCTTCTGGTTCCTTTCCTGCGCTGCACTGCGCCTGCACAGCTGCAGTTCTCCCTTCTTCCTACCTTCCAGGGTTTCTGCTTCCTTTCTACCTGGACAGTAGGCTACCCTGGTGCTTGCCAGGGTCCTTTTTCCACTCATTTGGTTTGGGTCTGCTTGCCCCGTGGAGGCTTTATGTCTTCTAGGATGACTGCAGGTCCTAGAACTGTGTTTCAGGAGTGGCTCCCAGTGAGTTTTTGCCATTTAAAGGAGCCTGTGGGCACTGCTTGGCTAAAATGGGACCCTGTTTTCTCAACCGAATGGTTTTGATCACTTCTGAAAGCAGTGCAGAAAGTACCATTCTTGGAGAAGTCTATCCCTGCTCACTTAAGATATCTGGAGAAGGCCACCTGTTTTTCAGCCAGTTTTTTGAGCAGCTTTGCTTACTAGCACAGCTTTGCCAAGGTAGACCTTGAGGTTAAGAGGAGGATTCAACCCCAAAAGTAGATGTTGCTTTTGCAGAAGGCGTCTTACTGACCAATCTTTTCTCAGGAGCTAGAGAAGCAGAGTCCGCCTGGTCCAAATCTTCACCTTCACAGCACAGTCTGGGGATGCTGAGTGTGAAGATGTGTTGCCCATCCGAGAGCAGATGTTGACGTTCTCAGCCCTGTGCTTTGGGGTCCGGACGCTACAAACTGCCCTAAGGTGTTTGGGGGCCACACAGAGATGCTTCAGAATGGAGCACCTGAGTCCTGAGGAGACACCTGGTGCCGTGGAGCTCTGTTCCCCAAGTCTGCTGCCCTCCTGCCGCTCGTCACAGCGAGTTAAACTGCTCATCAAGAGCATCCCCTCCTCTTGTCCTCCTCCCAGACCCCAGGCAGGGAGTGAAAGCGTTCCCAGTTCCTCTTCTATGGAAACGAGTCTGTAAAAACAGTGTGGACTGGTTTGTTTTTTCCTAAGACCTTGTTATTTTAAAGCACTTATCTGGTATTTGAAGTTTTTTATTTATACGAGACAGTGGAGATAAGAGAGGAGAAGCGGCTGCCGCCAGGAGAGGATTACTCTGCTCCTGAAGGCGCTTAGCTCCTCACACCTCGCCAGCTTGCAGAGGGACCTGCCCGTCTTGCAGGGGCACCATTTGCTCCGACCAGAGCCGTCCTTGCCATGCAGGTAGCCATGGAGCAGAGCAAGGGGCTGTGACAGGAAGGGTGGCACGGAGGCCTCTTGGGCCGCTCATTTGGCACGTCGTGGTGGTGTCCTGTTGCCCAAAAGCCTCCTTTCGCGCAGATTGCCAAGTAGCCGCACTCCGTATTGACTCTGGCCAGAAGCCAGCTTTCTCCTCCTATTTCCTCCAGCCGAGTCAGGCATGGTGACCTGGGAGCTGAAAGGAAAAGGAAAAGGGCAGTGATGGTTCCTGGGCACCCGCATGCCCTGCAGGGAGAGTCTCCAGCATCAGCACAGCCTCATCCTCCACCCTTAAATATTTTGGGGGCTCTGTCTGCATGGGGATGATGGAAAACAGGTATTGAGTCAGCCCTGATATCCTGTGCCCTCCCACATACCTCCTGACCTACCCTCCTCCCATGCTCTTCAGGAAGCAGAATCTCATGGATGAGGATGATAGCCTGGGCAGCAGGAGGACTGGTGAGGCTGGCCTGGAGAAGGCAAAAGCCACATGGGAGCCTGAGATTATTTGCTCCGCTCTGCAAGTAACTGACCCCTCCTCGGTGTTGTGGCATTGGCCTTGCACTTACTTGCCCTGTGCAAAGTCACTTATTGCATATCTAGAGAAGGCCCAGATGGATAGAGATAATGCGGCAGCAGCAAATCCTTGTGCTCAAGAACCCCAAATTCAGCACAGCCCAAAAACCCATTGCCAAAAAAAGGCAGCTCTTGCTCTAGGAGGACACGTTAGCTCTGCCTCAAAATCGTCCACGTAACAGAGCCACTCACCCTGACATCGGTGCGGGTTACGTCTGTATTCAGAAAGATGGGCTAAAACTGGAAATTCCAGAAGCGAAAACATCTGGGGCTCTGAAAATGTGGCCTTTGAGGAAAGCTGGAAAGAACAGAGTTTGTTTAGTCCAGAAGAGAGCTGATGACATCATCCCAGGCACCGAATGCAGCATGTTTATGAAAATAAGCCCTTCTTCCTGGCCCCGTAGTGAGTAAAGATTAACAGCTTAACTTTGAGGAAAGGAGACCTCAACTTGGTGATAGATAGAAAGCTTGGCATAGCTGGAGGTCCTTGGGGGTGATGTAGGGACACTGCGTCCTTGTTCCTGGGAGAATGTGAGGAGAGAGGCTGTGGGGGGGAAATGCTGCCCCACGGCAGAGCGAGACACCAAAAATGGTCCCCATGCAGCCATCCCAGCTCCCAGTGGTCTCCAAAGGCCCCAGCTACTGCCTTCTCCATCCCTGCCCCAGCAGGAGCTGCAGCTACAACTGGGCGCAGCAGCTCCCCAAGACACGGCCTGGGGAAGGAGATGGGTCCGACCTGGAGTCCACCAGCCTCGGCCGGTGCTCGAAGCCAAGGCCGCTTTGCCGCCAAGGCTGGAGACTCGTGAAGGCCACGGCAGAGGGAGGCTGACCTTGCACGGAGCTGCCGTGCAAAAGGCTTTATCCCGACAGGGAGGTGGGAGCGACGGGGGACCGCACGTTCCTGCTAGACTCCAAGCACACCGACCCCACTACAGCCCATAAATTCACAGCCTCCTTTCCCACTAGCTCGAGCCTTGCGTGCTCAAGCAGGACCCCGCGGTGAGCGATGCCATCCCCGTCTCTGAGTCAGTGCCGGAGGAAAGGAGCTTGCCGTGTGCGCAAGTGCTCTTAGTCATGGCATGCGCTGGCCACGTGCCGCCCCTTGGAAGGTGTTTGCAAGGGATTATTCATTCCTGTTACGTTGCCTCTGAACGAAGCGGAATGAAGCCCTCAGCTGTGACAAGCCCTGTGCGAGGGGAGTCGCTTTGGTTAAACCCTCTCGTGGGATGTTTATGGAGGGGAAGAGGAAATTCAGCTGATAGCACCCTGGCATCGCTTTAGTCACTGGAACAACATACTGCGTTCAACAGCGGGCATCTTATCTCAGCAGCTACCCAAAATAATGATAGCAGAGCTGAGCGATGGAAAATAAAGATAGCAATGAGTGATGGAAAGGGTTTGGCGAGCGGAAACCCAAGCTCATAAGGCCACCAATGTGCAGAAATGGGGGCTGTTTGCTCTAGGGAGTGTGCGGGGCTCTCCGGAAAGCAAAAGCCAAAGAGCGGCTCAAGAGCAGCTCTCGTTCCGCACCGCATGCGCTTAGGCCTTGGCATGTGTCCCGAGCCACGAGCGAGGGCGGAAGCATGGCCAAATTTGGAGAAGGACAAGCTGCGCACGTGGATATCAGCTGCCAAAGAGATGGTAAATGTTTAGGTAGTGTGTTGGATCCTTCCTCTTGCTCTGTGCTGTTCTGTCCATCTTTGGTCACGGTTTGGGACAAAGATGTAGGAAGTTCGCACAAAGTCCTCACCTTTTTGCTGACTTTTCCCACCCTTTTGGTGTTCCTGAGGTCCAAACATTGCTGCAGGTGACATTTTGCAGACATGAGGGATCCCATGCCTGGATGGTGAGGAGTCCATGGGCCACAGTTTGGGCTGTGGGACAGATGCCAGCAAGCGGTGCCAGGCAGAGCCCAGCTCTGGAATAGCCAGTGCCAATTGCAATCATTGTTAGGCTCAAGAAGGCAGCAATGAGGTCGGCCCCTCTTCCAGAGCATGGCTAGGCAAGCCCAAGGTCCCAGGGGAGAGGAAAAGGCTTTCCTGGAGCTGTTTAAAGTAGAGACTTCCTAATCTGCCCCACAGATGACGCATTTCAAAAGTGAGAAGCAAAACAAGCCCTGTTATTCCAGGCGCTCCAGTTTCTCCTGCCCATGAGCACCCATGAGCATCCCCCATGAGCTGATTTTGGGGTCCGGGAGGCTGGGTACGGAGCAGTCTCCCGCTCTGCTGTGACAAAGCACCTCAGAGCCTGTGAGTGAGTCACCTGGGTGCAGCTCAAAGCTATGGGCCTGCAGAGAGCTGTGGTTGAACCTGCCTCAGCTCTGGCCCCTTGTTCTCTGCTGCCCAGGAGGGAGCAGGGAGGCCTCGGCAGGGGAGCTGCTCGGCTAACGCATGTCCATGTGTTGGAGAGCCAAAAGCAGAGGCCCACAGGAACGTGGACGCAGAGGTCTCTTCCCACTGCAAGCAGCTAACAGGGGCTAACAGGGATGGTGAGGCTGAGATGGACCTCCAGAACATCACCCATCTCCATGCTAGGGATCCTGTGGCCCTGCAGGGCTTGGCACGGAGCAGAGCCTGCGCCAAGGCCTGCTGAGATGCTGAGCAATGACGTTTGTGTGTTTTCTTGTCCCTGTTTTGATTCCCCTTCAAGCTTGGCCGGTATTTCGGTTTCGCAAACGAATCCACTGAAGGGTGGGGAGAGCTGCGGCCCGACCTGGCTAGGGGAGAGCGGCTGCGTTGCTCTGCTGGAGGAGCAGCTGGGGGTCCTGGCAGCTCGAGCGGATGAAACGTGGTCTTTGGAGACCTCCTTCCGCGTCCCTCGTTGCAGGCACCGCTATGTGATCCTCCCATCCCATTTCGGTCACGCGTTTCTTTCCCTGGCTCACCCTTGCGTTCTGGTGGCTGCTCTGACCAGGAGGAGAGGTTATTTAGAAATGGAGGAGCTGGAAATTAAAGCAGGAGAGCTCCTTGATACCTCGAGCTACCTGGCAAATTTGTAACAGGCAAAAGGGACAAAATGGCCAGGAGTTTCTTACTAGCGTAACCCAAATCATCAAACTAAATGCTCTCGATTTCAATCTCATTCTTGAAAGGGAAGTGAAATTAAGTCTTCCATGCGACAGGAGGGTCTAGCCTGGGGTGTTCCTGTCCCAGCCCATGTCCTGATGCCCCTCATCCCACGCTGTCCCTGCCCAGCACCGTGTCCCCCCTTCTCTGCTGCCCTACCAGCCCGTGTTGCTTGAAGCTACCTGTTGCTATGAGAGTCAAAAATGTCTCATTTTGCACAGAAAAACCATCCAGGATGAAATGTTGGGTTTTATTACAGCCAATCTCCAAGTGAGATTATTTTCCGTGCTCGCACATCCAGGCACCCACCAGCACCAGGACACCCACAAGCGTCAGCCAGGAGCAGGCGCCTACAACGCGGGCGCCACGGGGTGCTGGCTGTCTGCTCCGCATGTCCACGTGCCCTCTGGATGGATGACACCAGCCCTCGCATGCCCATTAGTGGCCTCCTGGACTTGCTCTGCTGCGTATCCCCTTGTGTCGTCCAGCTCCCGGCCACGGGCAATCCTCATGTTTCTGCAGCACACACAGATGTCAGCAGCAGACCTGGCATGGGGACAGTCCCCAGGACCAGGTGGGATGGCCCCCGGCGCTGAGCATGTTGGGTGACTAAGTCCGCAGCGCAGTCTACTGGTGTTGGAAAGGCCATGAAGAAGGTCTCCTTCGCCGAGCGTGGGCATCGCTCCGTCCCCTGACGCCCACGGGCCGCTAGCAGCTCCCACCGGTGCACAGGAAGATGCCTGCGGCCATGGCCACCAGGGCCAAGGCCCCGAAGGTCAGACCCACCACCAGCGGTGTATGTGACCGGCCGCTCTGCTTCTCTGCGGGAACAGGAACCGTCAGGGACATGGACACCCCTGTGTCCCTATCACCCGCCTCACTCTTGGCACTGCACCGACCTGTCTCGGCACTCTGAGCCCTCAGGACGTCCACGCACGTGGTGTTGAGGAAGTGCTGGAGGTCCCGCGTGGTCTCGGGGTACTTCATGAGCTGCTGGTGGGTGAAGGTGGCCACGGCGTCCTGGCGAGGCCAGCGGCACTCCCAGGTGGCCGTGGGCACGTGGAAGGTGAGGAAGGCCGTGCTGTTGAGGGTCATGTCGTAGAAGCTGCGGGCCGTGCCGTTGGGGAAGAGGTGGCAGCCAAGTCGGCAGCGCAGGATCTGTGTGTCTGCGGCGCAAGGAGAGGAGAGGCAGGTCAGGAACGGCCCTGTTCCCGCTCCCATCCCCATTCCTACTCCCGGCCCTGTTCCCGCTCCCATCCCCATCCCTGCTCCCATGCTCATCCCCAGACAGGCCTTGGTACTGCAGTCTGTGGTAACTGGCTCTGGAACTGCGACCGTTCAGCAATTCAGCTCACTGGGCTTTGATTAGAAGAGGGGCACCCTGCCACCCACCTGTCCCTGGGCCACCATCCCAGTGTCCTGGCAGCACTGCCCAGCAAGGAGGGCTCCCCGTCGCTGCTGTCCTGATCCCTGTGGGGGTCTGGCATTCCCATTCCCACAGGGTCCAAGATCCTCATCCACACAGGGCCTGGGATGTCCAGCCCTGTAGAATTCTTGGTCCCCATCCCAGTAGGATCTCCATCCCCACAGGATCCAACATCCCCATTCCCACAGGGTCCAGCATCCCCAATCCATGGGGTCTGGAGTCCCCATCCCTGCAGGGTGCAAGGTCACCAGCTCATGGACTCCAGTGTCTCCATTCCCAGCACAGGGTCTAGCATCTCCAGCCCATAGGGTCCAGGGTGCCCACACCAAGGCATCCAGCCTCCCTAGCCCCAGGGGGTCCAGCGTCCCCATCCCTGTGGCATCCAGTGTCCCCATCCCCACGGGATTCAGCAACGTGCTCCCTGCTCCCCTCCAGGGTCCAGCTGCCCTGTCGCAATGCTCACATTCAATGTTCCTCTCCATATGGATGAGCTTGACCATGTTGGCAAAGTAGTCCAGGTAGGTGGCCACATCCTCCTTCCTGCGTGCCCAGGTGGCCGGTGGCTCCAGGGGCAGCAGCTGGCTGAGGCTGTGTCCCTCGAGGCGGTGGCTCGGGCGCCCGCCCAGCGTCGCATTGCCCCAGAAGCTGGAGCGCCCATTGGACACGCGCGTCACCTGCAGCATGGTGAAGGCCAGCGGGGCTGCGGGAGAGGCCGTGTGTCACCCGCGGCCACCCCGAAACCTGCTGCCCGGCGGTGACACCCCCCTGCAGACCTTACCCGCCTGCTCGGCGCCGCACGCCAGGGCCGCGCAGAGGAGCAGGAGGACGAGCATCCCGCGGCGGGACGGCACGGGCACCGCGGCGGTGGCGCTGGTGGCAGTGACGGGGACTTAAGCGCGCGGGGCCGGAGGTGGGGCGAGGCGGAGGGAGGGTGGGCGCGCG